TGTCACTCTGAAACTGTCAATAAAGTTTTGTCATGTCCTTTTGAATGTTTTTACAAAGTTACAAGTCTGTAGATCAAGTATTTCAAATTTTACCGTGCGAAAACTGAGTCACTAATATGTTCTTTAACATCATAGTGACAGGCATAATTTTTGGCATTTTGGATTGCTTTTCAAGCTGTCAGTCTGAAACTGTCAGTAACGTTTTTTCATGTTTCTCTGAATGTTTTTACTGAGTAACAAGTCTGTAGATCAACTATTTCAAATTTTACCTTGCCAAAACTGAGACACTAAAATGTTCATTAACATCATTCTAACAGCCATAAATTGTGGCATTTTGGGATTGCTTTTAAAACTGTCAGTCTGAAAGTGTCAATACAGTTTTCTCATGTCCCTCTGAATGTTTTTACAAAGTTACAAGTCTGTAGATCAAGTATTTCAAATTTTATACCCTGCAAAGAGATGGGGTAAAATTTGATATATCATTATTTTCAAAAAATTACAATTGAAACAGAGATTTTTCTATAAATTGGACAGAGTCTCCAGGCTAAAACCATAGCGGATTTATTGACTGTATATCCGTCTACAATTGTGGCAAAAATTATTTTACGATGTAGTCTAAAACGGCCAAAATATGCCGAAGAAGAACCACGTCTAATCTAAGACAGCTGCACTTGAATAATTTTATCGCTGTCAAAAATAAAATAATTTTAACAGCGAAAATAGCTTTCAATACTGAATGAGACTATAACGAAAAGAAAGACCAGTAAAAAATCTACCTAACAATGTAAAAATGAACACTTGAAACGAAATATATAGCGTGAAAAAATTAAAACAAAATTGTTCGTTTAAAACTTTTATACAGCTGTACAATGAATTCTGATCGTGCATCTTTGACAGCGGGGCGTTCTAAAAGGACCTGTCCGTTTTCTTTGAAACTAGCACAGTTTGTTAAGCTGAGAAATAGCTTTAAAACAATATAAGAACAAGGTAACAAACACGCGCACAACGGGCAAACAACGCCGAAGAAGAAGGACGCATAATTCAAAATGGCCGCGGGAAAATAATTTTATAGCGGTCCACATTTTGCAATAATTTTAACGGCAAAAATAGCAACGAATAATGAGTGAAATTATAGCGAAAAGAAAGACCAGAAAAAAAGGTACCTAGAAGTGTAAAAAAGTGCATTCGAAACGCTATATATGGCGTAAAATAATTAAAACCAAAATGTGCGTTTAAAGTTTTTGTTCCAAAATTTCGGTCATACAATGAATTCCGACGGTGCATCTTCGAGCGCCTCGCGTTCAAAAATTAAACGTCCGTTTTCTTTGAAACTAACACAGTTTAATGGCCAAAGAAAGAGCTTTAAAATGATACAAGAATGAAATAACAAATGTGAATATTCGTTGTGCAAAAGCTCATAAAGTACAGGTCATTTTCCGATACCTGTCAAAGATACAGTAGGGGGAAAAGTTTGAGTCCAGTTGTTGTAGAATTCCAGTATTAAATCCTGGCAGTGTATTCGAGTTAAGACATGCGTGCTAGTGTTTTAATACTGTAAACCATATTAATTGCACATTGTTTTGGTCCTATTGATCTAAATTATAACAAAATAAAGTTCTCATTCCTTTACACAACTCAGGATGGGTGGGAAAAAGGGCAAAGTGATGGTGCACAAGGACAAATAGTTGCATTAAGTATTGAAGAATTCTTTCCTCGTAAGATCGCAGAAAAAGTGAGAATTTCAAAAGGTCGTATGCAACTAACCTTGGAGAAATTCGAAGAAACTAAATCCTACTGAAGCAAACTTTTAGCTGCTTCGGTCATGCTGGGTTTGGCAATATTGAAAGATATAATAGGATCCTAATTAAAGAAAAGTATCATCCAATTCTTCAAGGACATGGAATTTCATCTGGCACAAAGATGATCGCGCGTCTAACTACATGATAATCACCCTAAAGATATGCACATCTCCTATGTGCCAGAAATCTTTTAGAAGCAAACTCGTTCTGGTGATCTCTTTCTCATGGCTTTCCACCTCAAATTCCAGATCTAAAACTTATGGAACACTTTTACGACGGTTTTAACCGGAAAAGGGCGAGGCACAGACCCACCAGCCAGGATGACTTGAGGCAAGTGGTCGACGAATGCTGGCAAAGTATTGAACGTGCGACATTAAAAAACCTATGGAATCTATGCCAGCAGGAGTAAAGGCCGTTTCAAGAGCAAAAAAGAGGGATACTAAGCATTGACATGTAATGAATTTTTGCACATTAACATACGTTAAATGAATATCATAACATCCCATTGTTGTTGTGCAGCATTTATTTTTCAGTTCACTTATTTACTTTTTTCTAGTTCTCTTTTCAGTAAGGTTTTCTGTAGAAAATTAATATATGCTGCTAAAACAATGAAATACAGTCACTGGACTCAAACTTTTGCCTCCTACTGTAGCTTTCAGGTAGCTTCAAAAAACTGAAAAAAAAACATGTTCCTACTCCTGCAATTTTTTTATATTTGTACAGAGTACTCAGTTTGATCTGCTCTTTCATATGTGGTATCGAAAACATAGTGTTACAAAGTGTAAGAAAAGGTACTATATATATATATATATATTATATATATATATATATATATATATATATATATATATATATTATATAATATATATGTCATATATAGTCATATAGTTAACAATAGTACTATTCTATATTATGTTACTTGTTAATACTTGCTATACTTAGCCAATGTTAAACACCGTACGTTATTATTAAATAACCCCCCCACATGTATTTAACCTGTGTATACACCAATTCCTCACCCTGAAACCCACCCTAAGCCTATGCTTAGGTTTCACCAAAGCTTTCTGACCATGAACCCAAATTGCTTGTTCTTCGTTGACGTTTAATATTTAAAAAACCTCAATCGTCTTTTGCACTTTTTCGGAACTAGAAGATATGCTCTCTTACCCGCTTCATTTAGACCCGACTTCAACCGTCGTTTTACGTTATCTTATTTTTTAAATCGTCCATAAAATATGCAATTTTCACTAACTTTTTTATCGGACTCGTATTTGGGCATTTTTCACCATCATTATTATTGAGTATGAAAAATGCGTCATTTATCAATTGAAAAGCTTGAACTTTTGGAATATGAAGAAAGGTCCGCTTCATACCAGGCACTGGGCGAAAAGCCGCATATTCCGCCCTCTATACCACGCAATATGATCGGGAATATTGATATTCCTAGATATTCTGGGGTATTCCTTCGGAATATTTCCGGAATACTGGTAGTATTGCGCGCAGAATACGTCGGAATAAAATACACCTGATATTCCGTGGCAGAATATCGTCGGGATAGCAGTTGTTGAGTTATGCGTATATTTTGCTAAATACAGCCTTGCACGTCATGTTAGTTACAATGTGATTCACTTGAATTAGTACAAAATTTTTGTACATTCATTTTATTAGACTTTCATTTCATTATATAAATGACCAATAGCCCTGATAATCGTATAGAGCAAGATTATCTTTGGGTGCATAAAGTGTACAAGATTTCTCTGATATTCAGATAAATATTGTCATGCATTTTCATTGACAAATGGATACAGGCGCTCTTGCAAAAAATGTTACCAAGTACCAAACTCGAAATGTTACAAAGGGTAAGTAAAGTAGCATATAACATGAAGAATTTAAATGTTGAATGGAAGTTTGCCGCCGAGCCTTCTGCAACCTCCGATGTATTGTGCGTTCTACGCAAAGAGGCATATAAGACCTAGTAGATAAATTTAGCGATTAAAGCTCGCCGAGTCCGGCCGATTTCAAATATCATTGATTAGTAAAAGTCTGTCCCTAATTACGAAATTATGTTTGGAAGTAATATTTCTCTTCGCGAATTCAAATTTTCATAACGAAATTTCCGAAGGGGGTAATAATGGGTGAAATAGGTATCCTACTTTGAAAGGTCTTTATCTCCATTTTGATCGTTACTGTATTGTCCATCATCCGCAGTTTATGAATCAACTATATATATAAGCTGGTGGGAAACGATTCATGATCATGCACACAGGCGGGCAGAAAAATTATTCCGAATCAACCAAGTTTAAAGAAATTGATTATACGAATTTAAAGTCCAAGCAGTATAAAAATGCTTGGCAGACTGATAGATATTCCCTACCCAGATGAAACATAATGAGTATAGAAAGATATAAATATAATAAATATAATAATGAGGAAATATATTATGCTCAAACACATAATTTTTTTTCTGCTACCTTCATTTATAGATTAATGGTGAAAAGATACATGTGTGCTACATTCGTTGGGGCTTCTTTTTTTACCACCCTCTGTATATTATACACTTAATGTATGCTCCCGAGGGAATAGTGAGTTTTGTTTTCCCAAGAGTCTGAATGTTTAAAGAATTAAGACTCGAGGGAAAACAAAACTCATACTATTTCCCGAGGTGTAGCGTACATTAAGTGTTTTGCCATAGGAAAAAACATTCATGTTACACGACAATTCATTTCACAAAACTTTGTTATGACAATATACGGGCATCAATTTTTCACTTGTTTCCCTGCATCACGGGAAACATTGCATTTATATAAAGTCATGTGATTGCGAATGAACCAATCACATTTATAATATACAGCACCTATACACAATATACACTTAATGTATGCTCCAGAGGGAAATAGTGAGTTTTGCATAACGACAATTTCTTTTCAAAAAACGTTGCTATGACAATATGCACGCAAAAATTTTTCACTTGTTTCCCAGACGGGAAACATTGCATTTTTTGAAAGTCATGTGACTACGAATGAATCAATCACATTTAAAGTAAACAGCACCTACCACATTTAAAGCACGGTTTAGACTTGCAATCCACTACCATACCACAAAAATAAAGGAAACCATGCAATCAAATACGATAGTTCTATCACACTAACTATGCAATCACGAAATCAATCGATTACTGATACTTATACTGTAGTTGTAGTGGAAATCAAATCTTAAGCTATAATGATGAACATGCACTTAACTCAAAAATTACTTACTAGTAAACCAAAAATAGTATACAAAAAATCCCGAAATATTATTCTGTTGCAACCTCAATTCATGCATGTAAACACATCATTTTCTAAAGTAATTTTTTGCCATTTAATTTGCAGATATACAGATTAATCAGTAAAAGAGCTAAGTACGTCTTTTGCAGAGTACGAAATAGATCGTCGCACACCTCCGCGCGTTCTTACACCCCTCCCTCCTCGCGTCCGTAACGCAGTTCCCCCACGAGATGCACTGGCTGACTTATTAAATTCTGTCCGCAGAGATTGCTTCACAGCCCATGTAGGAGCATCTTTAGGCGCTTTCTTAAAAGATAACCCAGAACTGGTTCTCTTTGTCCGTTCTTTCATAAATTCTTTCTTCGTATCCTTAATTCGACTGTCCAAAGTCCTAAGGAACTGCGTCACATTGTTCGCTCTCCAAGGCAATTCCAAGTGGCGCCAACCTTCCCCATCAGTGTCATCTTCATCCTCTGACATGTACCCTACTTTCAGAATTGCGCCAAATTCTTCCTGTTCTTCATCTGTTACAACTTTTAATCGCCTTTCCAACAACTAAATAAGTCACACCAAAAACAAAAAAGTCATTATCAACGGAATAAATTATATTAAACGTATCGTTGCTTCTTCTGGAAAACGATTTTGACATACCCTTTCCCTTCTGCTTCGCATGCACATTCTTCTCTTTTTCCTTGGCGTGATGGATTGCGCGCCAATTTCTTTCGGGATTGAAAGTGGATCTTGACCGCTTCTACACGAAAACAAGTAGCCTGCAGGCATGATCATGATCATGTGAAAGACTATAAATATATACATCATGCAATGGTCAAACTGTGTGCATTCAGACGAAACATCATGCAGGACACGAGCCAGATTTTCACATTACATTTTGGTATCCTATAGAGAAGTGCAGATGTATACTTCTGCGCTCATCAAATTAAGATATTTAATATATACATGATGCAATGATCAATCTGTGTGCATTCAGACGAAACATCAGGACACGAGCCAGATTTTCACATTACAATTTAGTTATCCTATAAGAGAAGAAGTGCAGATATATACTTCTGCGCTTATCAAATTAAAATATTTAATATATACATCATGCAATGGTCAATCTGTGTGCATTCAGACGAAACATCAGGACACGAGCCAGATTTTCCATTACAATTTAGTTATCCTATAGAGAAGTGCAGATATATACGTCTGCGCTCATCAAATTAAAATATTTGATATATACATCATGCAATGATCAATCTGTGTGCATTCAGACGAAACATCAAGACACGAGCCAGATTTTCACATTACAATTTAGTTATCCTATAATAGAGAAGTGCAGATATATACTTCTGCGCTTATCAAATTAAAATATTTAATATATACATCATGCAATGGTCAATCTGTGTGCATTCAGACGAAACATCAGGACACGAGCCAGATTTTCCATTACAATTTAGTTATCCTATAGAGAAGTGCAGATATATACTTCTGCACTTATCAAATTAAAATATTTAATATATACATCATGCAATGATCAATCTGTGTGCATTCAGACGAAACATCAGGACACGAGCCAGATTTTCACATTACAATTTAGTTATCCTATAAGAGAAAAGTGCAGATATATACTTCTGCGCTTATCAAATTAAAATATTTAATATATACATCATGCAATGGTCAATCTGTGTGCATTCAGACGAAACATCAGGACACGAGCCAGATTTTCCATTACAATTTAGTTATCCTATAGAGAAGTGCAGATATATATCTTCTGCGCTTATCAAAATTAAAATATTTAATATATACATCATGCAATGATCAATCCGTGTGCATTCAGACGAAACATCAGGACACGAGCCAGATTTTCACATTACAATTTAGTTATCCTATAGAGAAGTGCAGATATATACTTCTGCGCTTATCAAATTAAAATATTTAATATATACATCATGCAATGGCAATCTGTGTGCATTCAGACGAAACATCAGGACACGAGCCAGATTTTCACATTACAATTTAGTCATCCTAATAGAGAAGTGCAGATATATACTTCTGCGCTTATCAAATTAAAATATTTAATATATACATGATGCAATGATCAATCTGTGTGCATTCAGACGAAACATCAGGACACGAGCCAGATTTTCACATTACAATTTAGTTATCCTATAAGAGAAGTGCAGATATATACTTCTGCCTTATCAAATTAAGCAATGATCAATCTGTGTGCATTCAGACGAAACATCAGGACACGAGCCAGATTTTCACATTACAATTTAGTTATCCTATAATAGAGAAGTGCAGATATATACTTCTGCGCTTATCAAATTAAAATATTTAATATATACATCATGCAATGATCAATCCGTGTGCATTCAGACGAAACATCAGGACACGAGCCAGATTTTCACATTACAATTTAGTTATCCTATAATAGAGAAGTGCAGATATATACTTCTGCGCTTATCAAATTAAAATATTTAATATATACATCATGCAATGGTCAACCTGTGTGCATTCACACTAAACATCAGGACACGAGCCAGATTTTCCATAACAATTTAGTTATCCTATAGAGAAGTGCAGATATATACGTTCGCGCTTATCAAATTGAAATACTTAATATATACATCATGTAATGGTCAACCTGTGTGCATTCACACTAAACATCAGGACACGAGCCAGATTTTCCATAACAATTTAGTTATCCTATAAGAAGTGCAGAATATACGTTCGCGCTTATCAAATTGAAATACTTAAAGATACATCATGTAAATGGTCACCTTGTAAAGAGCTGGGTAGAGGAGAAGCACACGTATTAATGAAATATCTAGCTAATCTGCTGTCTTTCCTGGTTCCCAATTATTGCATGCATGGTATAAAAAACTGCATACACAAACCTTTTGCCGTCTCAAAAGAAGTCTTTTTTCCCAAGTTTTTTTCTGCGAGATAAACCTCTCTTGCGAGACTCTTAATCTTCATCTGATTCGTTGGGGAGTCTGCTCTGAAATCAAAAATGAAAGGAAATCTACATCAATTAGGAAAAGGGTTTGAAACATTAGTAATCACTTTATGCGTCACTTATACGCAACTGACTGTATTCAAGCATAACCTGTTGCCTTTCTAAAACCATTTTCTATATATATAATATACACTTGTTCCTTGTAATATACGTATACGTATGTATTGATGATAAAGTACATACAAAGCATATTTTCAAATTAATATAGCCACTCAAGGCGCGCGATAATTAAAATGCATGCATGGCTTTCGATACAGCCGGTATTTGGGGTATTTGTTATACGAAATACAAAAAACTGCATTGAAAAATGGGACTTAGTCTATGACAATGCTATAATGAAAGATTTTGGTTTGGTTGTATCCCTGTAGTTCATATAAATCACCGTGCTAAACATAGCATAGAAAAATAACTTAATTGGCAAATTTAGCCCATGCATGCATGCAGCCGGAGGCTATAACCAAACACAATTTTCCCATTTTTTTGTTTAGGTTCACAGTTTCCTTTTATTCCTTGTATACGGTGACCACAGCGTTAAAATTACAGAAAGTGAACACATAATACCTTTCTTCCACGTCGAATGTTTCCAAACCGTCTTGGTCTTCTTTTTGCTTAATTATTGTTCTGACAGTGCTCTAAATTGATTATTGCACGATTAATAATAAAATGGATTATGATAGTCACGCAATTTTTTAATCCCATATGATATCATGCGCTTGTTCGTCAATGCCGAAATGTTTCATTTTATTTTCGTTTCAAGTTTCAAGCCAAAATTAGTGAGCTTTGGCATGTTTTCTTTGTGATTATTGGTATGAAATTCATTCCATTCGGTACCGGACAGACAAGCCGCTCTTAAATTTACATAATCTATGATTGTATGTTGTATAATGATACAGCACAGTTTATACATATGTAGCTAATGCTCCCTTTTAATCATGAAACACGACGTATTCGATACAAATTCAAATTTCACGTGATGCATGATATATTCAAGATATATTCAATTCAAATTTCACGTGATGCAATAATTCAAGATATATTCAAAAATTTCACGATATATTCAAGATATATTCAATTCAAATTTCACCTGAGGCATGCATGTGACAAGAATTTTTTTGACATGCAAACTTTGCATGCCGGATAATAGCCCTTTTAAAGAGAGTTATTTTTAAAAAAAACCCAACCTTTATATCAGCAGGTACTTTAGCTTTGCGACTCCGCTTCACACTGTATTGTTCTTTTCCTCAAACTGTTTGAGGCGCTGTTCAATAGCCCACCACTGATTTAGACAGGCCTCCCAAAGTATCGCGCATACGATCATTCTCCTCTTTTTGTTTGTCCAACTTCTGTTAAAAAAGAAAGCACACACCGTGGATTAACAAAACCAGGTTTTTAGTCTATATAATATATATAATATATTATATAATTATATGTACAATATTTAACTTATAAGCCTATACATACCTCATTCATTGCCATTTGCTGCTCCAAGATCCCTCGAAAAATGACCGACATTTCGCTCTCCTTAACAGAATCATCAGGAACTATTGATTCATCGTCTGTATGCTCATTTGAAATAGATTCATTGCCAATTGAATCATGATCAGACTGTTCGCTTGACTGATCCGACATTATTTTAAAGGCAAACCGGTTTAGCACTGAGCAGTTTTTTCAAACCTTTAGCGCGATGTAAGCAACACTCAACTGAAGCGATTTCAAATGTGTTTGTGACTTTGTGTAACGAAATAAATTTGCCGTAGGCAGGGCGGTGTGCCAGCTTTTATCATTTATCACTTCCAACAGTATAGCTATGTCCTATATAGTCATATAATCTGCTCGTACAAAACTGTCGCAGAAATATATGAATTTCATAGACATAAAAGTTTTTAAAAACCTTCACAGGTGGGTTATATGCACCTGAGTTTGTATGTTTTAAGCCTTTTAATATATATATTATATATATATATATATATATATATATATATATATATATATATATATATATATTCATTAAAGCGACATGCCTTTTCCGTGCATTCATGCTAATTGATATACAAACATGCGGATATTCTGGGTTGCAACGAACCACCTGTCGGATGTCGAGGTTTGGAGACTGACCAAAAATACCACTTAAAACAAGGGCGATATTTTTTGTCATCGCTGCCTCCCTATACATGCATGCACGCATGTTCTTATAATTATAATAGTGACAAGTGTATATGCATGTTTTCATATCTAAATTGTACACCGTTAAGAAATGGGTAAAGTATGTGTAATATACTCAAAATCACCTAACCGAACTTTGCATAAAACCGAACTTTGCTGCCGTGTCCATAAACTTACATATCATTCAAAACATACCAATATCACACACAACCCTAACCCTATTTATACCTATACAAAAATGGACTTTTTATACATTTGGCCCTAGTCAAAACCCAATAAAGCCTTATAACATCCTCCAAGCCCGCGTGTTCGACCAAAAAATGAAATGTACGGTTTGTTTTTATCAATTGTACACCTAGTTTGATCAAATTACGAAACTCACTGAAATTCATCAATAATTAGAGCGCTTTCAGCGCGCAATGAACAAATCGGATTATAGATTTCACATATCACGCAAGTCTTTTAAGCCAAACTTGACAAAGCTTCGGATGCAAAAAAGCGATAGAATTACTGCATTACCGATAAAGCGTGTGTAAAAACGAGTTATTGCGATAATAGTCATAATATACTGTTAGTAATAAACACTTCATGGGAAAGGTACGTGCAAGGCAGCATTGTCCACATTGTAATCAAAATGTTAGCTACTCTACATATCGACAACACCGAATGCGCTTTTTTGATAATCAAAGAGGGAAGTGGAGAGTGGATAGTTCTAACATCAATGACGTATATGAAGGTACGTATATATGTAGTATATAATTCAGCATTGTTTTTTTATGATGGATTGAAGAAAACCACTTGCCAGTTAGCATACACAATTAACCCAGTATAATACCTTTATAATAATTTATGATGTTCAACTTGCATATTGCATAAACATTCGCATTGACAAACCTTAGCGCTATCAGTAAAATCAGTTTTAGAAACCTTAAACCTATACATAGGTTGTTTGTTTTACTCTGAAGTCAGTTGTGAACAATGATATGCACTCTTGATAAAGTGGGAGTAAAATGAAAATTATGAAATAATGCATGTTTGTTTGGAAAGTTTCATGTCATCAGTGAAATCACCCCTAAATTTCCTTCCTCTATTTTATAGGCGAAGGTTCCGTAAATTTTCCAAGACAGTTCGAAATTTCAAGTACTTTTTGGAGAAGGGGAATCTTCAACATTATGTGAAGATAATGCCCTGCAAGATATTGAGAATGAAGTGGAATTCCAATTCCAAGAGAATTTAGCAGGGACACAACAAAATGACATAGCAGACGACACTAGCAGCAATGATGATAGCAAATCTGAGAGTAGCAGCACGGATGAAGAGATCTGGGAGGCTGAAGATGTACCAGATACAACTGAAAACAGGGAAGACAACGCGCCCGAAGAAAAATCATGTGCCCTGCCTACAACGTCAATAATTGGGGCCATGTCCCTTTTTCTATTGTTATGGCAAGCTTCGTTTGGCATTTCTGG